TCCATTGTTCGCGCTTGTTGGATAGGAGCTCGTACGCCTCGCAGCCGTGATAATGGTCATGCCCAACTGCCCCAGGACATGGCTTCGTGCTGTCTGCTCGTGTTGTCCATAACGGCGTCGTCCTTGGAGTTGAGCTCGAAGGCTGTGGTGGCCTCGACATCCAACTTCTCTGTCGCCTGAAGAAGAAACGGCTGACACCGCTCATCAGGCGACACAGGACCGGCTGCTATCCGAGCGAGGGGCCTGCGAACCACCCGGCATCTGAAAGTGTAATGTCGCCTCAGGAGCCGTTCGTCGCGGCACGCTGCAATTTTGCGCCAAACCCGAAGCCGCACAGCACTAGATCCAGGGCTCCCGCTTTCTTGTCAACAGTCCCTGAAGACTGCGCAACAACACGCAGTAGGTCTTGCCGCTCCTTTCGGCTAGCCTGTACGACTTCCGAACTGCATTTGAATATGTTCCGACATGAAGGCATGCATCGCCTCTTCGTCACTCATGGTGGACAGCCACTTCTCATGGTCCGCCACAACCTTGGGAAACTTGGCAAGAATCTGACGGCGGAGTAGCAATAACTACGCGATTCAGGGCATAGGGGAAGAAACAAATTGCTACGAACAGACAGCTAGCGGCTATATCACCTAACACACTCAAGGCAGCTGCATCACGAGCCAGCTTGAAGATCTTCTGTGTCTCCTGCGCCGAATTTAGGTTCGAGATGGTTGGATTCCTCCCGTCCTCTCGCCCCATCAGAATGATGCATCGTTCTTCGCAGACCCGCTCTCTGATCTTCCCTGATCTTCCTACGAAGCGCCAGACCGCCCAGAACGAAGAGCTGCTGGCCGAAACATGTCCAGCCACGGCTCTGTCAGTTGGTCAGCGTGCAATCAGGATCACACCCAGAGGTCGGTTTGAGAGCACACAAACTTTCACGGTCCGCGCGGCTCTGATGAATTGGTGCGCCGAATGTGGAAACATAAGCTTGAAGGAACACACAAACACACACACGCACGCACAGAGGCACGCACTCGCACACTGCACACCGACAAAAATAACAGAATGCACACCTACATTCGTACATTCATTCAGCTACATTTTGGAATGCAGCTTTCCTGTGGGCGTGTCTGCACTAAGTTGTGGTGGCTTCTCCATGCGAATATCACGCCTGCAGCAACTCTTCATTAAGCTGTCCCTGCTTTTGTGTGTGTAGGGTGTGCAGATGTGCGTGGAAGCGAGCGAGTTGCATGCAATAGCCCGAGCTTCTGCTCGAGTAGGTGGATGAGCGCAGGGGTGTGTGAACGGTGTTGCATGTCTAGACACTTGAGATGGCTCGCATGCATGAAGACTGTAGAGCTGCATGGATACATACACACTGTTGCGCCCAGCACTTTGGCATGCTCCCATTCACACGTGTGCGCAGGCTTCTGTAGACAGCGCAGGCACATATTCCGGACTGCGCGCACCAGCGTTCATTCCAAGCAGGCGGGCAGAAGGTCAAAAGCAAGGGCAGCAAGGATGCAAATTACAATTCAGGCGCACGGTGGGCCTCTTCCGAACTGGCCTTCAGATCGTTCGGGCCCGCCCTTGGAGTCACGGCATGTTCTCGGCGCTCGGAGATCTCTCGAATTCCTGGCCGCTGGCGGCAGCACGATGGGATCGGACCGAGTGCCTTTTCCGAAAACGAAGAGAAAAGAGCCACGTCCAAGTCTCGGGTGTTCGTCTCGCTCTCGCTGAGGCCCAGGCCCACGAGGCCGGGAGGGGGTGGAAGTTGGGCGAAGGGCGCGTACTGCAGAAGAGGATCAAAATGGAAAAGACAAACGGAAGAGGACGAACATTGAGAGCCGAGGTCCTGCATCGCGCTTGCACACGCGTCCAAGGCCGGAGGCTGTATTCAGATATACGGGCCGAACAAGTGTTTAGTCGTTTGGAAGTACCTTTGTGAGAGCTTGGCAGGCCGGTAGGATCTCTCAGTCTCTCAGATGCCAAGGCTATAGCCTGCTACCATGCTTGCTCTGCGCATACCGTGGAGCACTTGAGACATGCTGGCAAACAACGAGAATACAGCAGCCACATGGCATGTGCATCGCGTGCGTGACTTTGCCCACCAAGGATCGCCTCGATAAGCTCGTGAAACCGATTCCTGAAAGACGCACTAAAATCTATTGCTGCGCAAGCTAAACTGCGAAGACAATCCTTTCTTCGTCCGGTCATGGCTTGAAAGCGCCACGAGACTTCAGGAGCATGGAGCGTTGTCCCAATATGTCTCCCAAGCCTTTCAGTTGCTTTCTCTGCGTGTCTAAGATCGCATTCTCTGTCTCAGTTCGAAGCGCTTCGAACTCCTCTGCGGCTTTCCCTGTGAGGCTGGCCGCCAAAGCCGATTTACGCTGCGGAAGCAACTCGCTTGCTTCCTTCTTGGCTGCAGATGCGGCGGTCTCGGACTGCATGTCAATAGCACGGACAAGGCCTTGCAGAAGATCCTTCAGTGCTATTCTGCAAGCGTGGAGGTCCTCCTGGTGTGCCGCCTTCGCTTTCTTGGCTCCAGATTTGGGAAGTGCTTGAGCGCTCCACACTGCTATGGGGATCAAGATTAGCAGGCAGCTCAGCATGGAGGCCAAACAAGGCTGCCCGAAGGAGCCCGCGACGAAAGGGCAATGCTTCCATTGGCCCTCCAACTGAGCGCGAGGCGGCGGATCAAAACCCGAATCGGATACTTCCGAAGCCACATTCTGCACCGCAGCGAAGGCTGCGACCGCTGCGCTGAGAGCCTCCAAGTTTTTCGTTGGCTTCTGCCACGACTCGGTGCCTGAACAACATTTAACCACCAGCAAGGCTGTCTCGCATGCAGCATAGCTGCATGCATTCGACAATCTCTCGAAGCTGGAACTTGCTCGGCTCCAGCAGCTGCAGTCGCCTTGCAGCACCTCTTTCATGGAAGCTGCGGCAGATTCTACATCTGGGATCTCCTCCCAAAGCTCCGTGAAAGCAAGGCGTGCGGACTCAACGGATCTTGACAACTTGTCCTCAACCGGCCCATCCTTGCAAGCTAAATGGCCTAGTGCTTGAAGCGTAGATCCTGCAAAAGCGACTTTGGCAGCAGGATTCGCTGCACCGTCCAGCAACTCTGCAGCCGCGCCCTGACTCTTCGGCTGTTGCCTGGGATTCCCTCGTTTGCAGCTCCATGATGTCCCAAAGGAAGTCAAGGACTCAGGTTCAGGCCGCAGTCTGTCCCCCTGCCATCGCATGAAACCAGCTTGGGTTGAGATGCGCCACCAAAGCAGTGACAGAAGAGGTCCAAGCCTCCCCTGAAGGCAGCTTGCCTGGCATCAAGCAATCACAAGCGGAAAAATGCGAAATTTCCACGACAAGAAGCTGCCAAGGCCCAGGCTAGCAGAAAGCAGTGGAAGCGGCTGCAGACCATTTAGCAAAGCCCGGTCTTGATTCCTGCCAAGCGTTTGCTAGAGCTTGTGCAAGCTGATGAAGGCATCCGGGGTGCTCTCGCGAAGGTCTCCGCTGTCCTGCTGGACCAGTGGCTCGATGGTTTCTCTGCAATCGCGGAGAGCATCCGGAATTGCCTGCGATTGCAGGTTTCAATGAGAGAGCTGCAAAGGCCGCCAGGGCAAGGAAGCTCTCCCTGGTGTGCCTCCCGCAGCTTTCGACCAAAGCTTCCCAGGAGGCTGCAGCCGCCACATCCGCTGCGGTCTGATCCATACAAGTCAGTACAACTTGAGGGGCGGGCGGCGAAGCGGGCTCGAAGCATCATCAAGAATACAAGCAGCGGAGGGGAAGCAATGCTGGCCAAGCGGGCTCCAGGCATCCCACATGCAACCACTGCAATCAAAATAGCATCAGCAACGTAGTGAAACAGAGCCAGCAATCTCATCATATCCAGCATCCAACCACCAGCAACTCAGCAACGAAGAGAGTGCGCGTCGCGGGTGGGAGCAGGGCAAGGGGGGGCGGACGACAAATCAATCGAAGCGGGTTTCGGCCGGCATCCAGGCCCAACTGCTAACGGAGATAGAAACGAAAGCCTCGCTACTAGCTTTCATGATTAGGGCACAGCTTTGGATGACCCCTGGCCTCCTCAATGACGGCCCTGGCCCACATGAAACTGTTGCTGACCTGGCAAACTCTGCATACATGCGCCGAAGAAAAGCTACTCAACTACATGCTACCACTTGCCCGATGCCCGAATGCAGACCTGGGCGATTGAGTCGACGTACTCAGGAACGCGGCAAAGAACGCCTCGATCTGCACTGAATAGTAACAGAACGTAACAGAGGAAACTTCTTGAAAACCCTACGAGTACTACAAGCATAGCAGATATTCTTCTGACGTCTTGGCATCGGCAGTGGGGCCAGGGTCTATGCACGCCAAGGCCACTGAGAAGGGCTCGCCTTGCATTCCGAAAGCTGCATGGAGACAGTCATTGCCATCTTTGTCCAGATCCTGCAGTGAACGGACCAGCCCTTTTCTTGCAGGAACTTATGAGATCTCCGGATGTGTGCTGAATCCAGCGAACTACGTGAAACCCCCGGAATGGGGAAACCTGCAGAGGTTCTGCATAATAATTCGGCGGGATGCGGAAGAAGCGCATTACGAAACCTAGCATGAAAAGCGTAAGCTAGGGATGATAAGGTCCTCGTGAAAGGACTGGATGCTGCGGCAAACCTGTCACATGGGTTGTAGCTACAATTTCTTCACGAGCGTCAGCCATCACGCAGAATCCAATGCCTCTCGAAATTGTTCGGGGCAAATGTTCTCCAGGGCATCAAAGACCAGGTGCGAGAGGCTCTCATGCTGCGCAGGGGCATGAAGTGGATCAACCGATTCGGGCAGTGCTTGTTGCTCAAACTTTCTGCTGCACCGCGAACACGGCATCAGTGTGGCTAAAGCAAAGAACAGCAGAACGTCGACATTCACACTTGGACGGGGTCACCATGATTCAGCCAGTGTTTGGCCGGCATCAGGTCCCATACTCACGCCGAGACAGCAGTCGCAGGTCATGCTCTGAGGCCTCAGTTCCATCTACGGCAGATCGGGTGGTCGGTGTTTGGAACAAACAGACTGAAGATCCCGGGCAATTCTCGGCATATCTTGCAAGAGTGGAAGGAACACAAACGCAGGCCCACGCACGATCAATAATTCCTGAATACACTCCTGAAATATCACACTCGCGTGAAGGAGCTCAGGCCGACACACTTCCGAAGCTGACTTATTTCATCGTGGCACTCTGAACCTGAAAGCAACGAGACTCTGGGCATTGAGGCCGTACGATCCTCCCGAAGGACTGAGGCATTTGCACAGGTCTGAGCCTCTGCTCACCTTCCGCTGAAAGCACTCGCTGCCTCTGGCTGGGGGGCGCGGGTTCTTGGTTGTTTGTGGCCTGTCTTCTCGTGCACAACTTCTGGCGACATAGAACTGCTTCTGACGCTGCGCTCCGCTCCAGCGAGCGCAGGCTTGAGAATGTGGCACATTTCTTGCGGACGTCTCCTCTGGGAGGCCATGAAATGACTCAGCCTCAGGCCACCAATCGCAGCTGCAGCTACAGCTTGAGAGCAACTTGCCCCGAAGGCAAGATACTGTACCGATCTTCCCCAGTCTATGTCGGGGTGCCACCCAGATCCATAACTTTTCCATGCTCCTACATAGGCGCTGCGAGTTGCATTCGTGATATTTCAACTATACTTGAAGGCACCGGCTGCTGAGGCGACTCTGATGTCAGCAAATCATCGGGCTCCACACGCTGTGGCCTGCACCAGAGCCGAGTCCTGCGAGCTGAGCACACTGTTGGACTCTTTTTTGTGAGGAGCATAGGCCTGTCTTTTGCACGGTTTTCCTTTGAGTTTTAGAGCCATCGTTTTTCTCCTCCGTTCGAACTATCCCTCTGCTCCGCAGCGCCAGCGCGGTTTCTGCCTCCAGAGCGGTTGCTGTCAGCGGCTACAGTATTGCCGTCGCTGTGATCGTCAATCGCCCAGGGGTGCAACCTTCTCGTCGCCACTTTCACCTGCAAAGCATCCGGCGCAAACCATCGACGGTCGGGTGCAACAGCAACAGTGCCCGCCCCTTCAGACTGAATTCAACTAAACCGAGTGCACACCGAGCACGCCCCGGCAAGACGATTTCCAGATGAACGTCGACAGCGGCTTTGGTGGCGAGATGCTCTGTCATGTCCGGACAACAGCAGATTCAACTTCGTTCTGTGCACTCTGAATGCCTTGACTGTCAGGGGCCCTGGAAAGCTGCAAATGTACAAATTGCTCTGACCGACTGCTAGAACCTCTCCTCAGGCTCGGACTACTGGACAAAGTGTCAGGCGAGTCCCCTCGCCCTTTGTAGACGCAGGCTGCCTGTCAGTGTCCACATGACTCGCCTTTATGTGCGAGAGTCGCAAGTTCAAGAACTGCCTGCTCCACTGGTTCAGCCACTTGGGATCACACCTTCTCATCCTCTTGCGCCGACTCACCGCCGGAGCCATCTTGGTCAAAATCTGCCAGAACCTTGTGCCATCGTCTCAAGCAGCATGCTGGGAAAGACATTACCCGGGCGCCAGGACTTGGGTCGCTGCATCTCCGGCCTCACCGAACACAACGTCGGGCGGCCTTGCATGTCGAGAGATTTCGATCGCATTTGCCAGAGATTTCGATCGTGTTTGAAGCCCAAGCAACGCTTGCCTGCAAGGCTCCTCCTCGCATTCGTCGGCACTATCTAGACAAGGTGAGTCATCTGACCTGCAAAGGTTCCGGGCTACAATGAATTTGCAGAGGATGCAGCTCTGCCGGGCATTCACTTAGGCCAGTGCTCATCCAACACTGGAACATTTCTCTGCTGCAGCCAGGACAAAATTATCTCCTGGCAACAGCATTATGTAAATTTGGCTGTCATACGGGCACGCTTGCCCGCTTCAGCAAGCAGGGCTACACAGTGCACGTCTGCTGACTCCCAGCCCGGGACTGGGACTGCAGATCACATCGTTGGGACACATTGAACAAACTTACAGTTGAGGAGACCTTACAGACACCTGGCCTTGGCATCTTGCAACTGACGAAAGAGGCGAGTTGCCCGGACCTGGCAACTGCACGCCCATAAGCTGCACGGCTGCAGCACGCCACAAGCTGGGGCGACTCGCTGATCGGGCGGAGCCTGGAGCATCAACAGAGGCGAGGAATCAGTGTTCTGAGCAGGTCTACCGCCTTATCCGGATGCCGCTCGCGAGCTAGTGCACGACTGCGTCGCTGCACATCGCTCCGCAGAGCGCTGAGCGGGAGGTTTAACCTGGATTTTTGGCGCACACACACACAGAGGACACAGCGGCTACTTGCAGCAACGTGAAACTCGTCTCCACATGTCTGGGCACAGGGCAGGGCATACGCCTGAGCGACCTGGCCGGCGCTCGGATGCTCATGGAGGAAGCGCAGGAAGCTTCGAAGCTTCGAAGCTCCGGCCTCATCTGGGGGCGGCGGGCCTTCGTAGCCATCGGGCTGGGTCCGAACCAGGGCCTGGCTGAGGTGTGAGCCGCTAGCGACCCAAAGATGACAAACTCACCGCACTCTTTTGGAGACTGCCTGATCATGAGCCATCTGGGAGGTCCTGGTAAGTCCGCAAGATTGAGCCCAAGCGAGGTCTATGTACCTAACTACACAGCATCTCTGCTCCAACTACCAAAGATACCATCGGGATGAAAGGTCCAAGGACAAAGGCGCCTGACCTCGGCTTGCCCAAAACAAGAGGAGCCCTTTCAGCCCCTCTTATGTCAGCTGCTCTTTGACAGCAGGCATCCCCTCTCCGGGCCCTCGCCTAGGCCCCTGTACGAGGCCGCTGGGATTCGGACTATCAGGCTGACTAGTGACTCGATCAGCTACATCCCCTGAATACGGGATCCGTAATAACTTGGCTCAACAAAAAAAGATCCTGTACAGATGCAATCCGTATGATCTGGTCGGCTTGCTTGATGCCCCGCAAGGAGCCCACCACCACAACGCCATCTGGTCACATCCTTGCAGCGTGCTGCAGACAACCGTTCGAGTGCCTGCTGCCAAATGCCCCGCCTCGACCAGCAGCACGCTGGCCCTGATGTTTTTTTTCAGACCAATGGCTCCAGCAAAGCTGGGCGCTTTGGCTTCATGGACCGGTAGAAAAGCCACGCGGCCGAAGCTGTGATGGCCTGCAGAGACGGCGAGGACATCACATTGACACAAGTGCAAGCGATGTGGAAAGCTGAGGCGCTGCAGCTGCCAGCAGGATGATGCCAGAATGGCCGCGTGCTGCTGGCCTCAAGCATTGCTTCAAAGTATGATTTCGATTGCACTGGCCGTGCATGGTCATTCCGGTTTGCTCCTGCAGGCCTAGATTTTTGAGGTATGGCTCGAGATGCTCTTGAGAAGCTAGCCGTCTCGACTTTCTCGGCGCCCTGCTCGGAGCTTGTGAAGCGGGAGCTTTTCGCCGCCTCCAACGGCCAGCCATCCTCTCACAGCCACGGTAAATTCGCTGGGGAATCGCACAGGGATTCTTGAATGCCTCCTTCGTAGCATTCGGAGCAGCTGTAGGCTTTGAGGTGTTCTGCTTGGCGAGCACCTCGCGTGCTCAATGCTCTCATGCGCCCCGACGCTGTTGCTTGCAGACTTCGGACTTAGACATTGCACCCTCGATTCCATCTAGCCTTCACCTTTTGCGTCGTTGTGTATCTCTGCTGTGCTCTGTGCAGGGCAAGCTTCAAGCTGATCCACTATGCACCTTCCATGCTCTAGCAGGCGAAGTCTGAAACTATCGGGTGGGTGGATGGGTGAGCGGGCGGGCAGGCGGGCGGGTGGGTGGGACTGTTTGGAAAGACGACCACCCCACCATACAAAACCAAATCCGTGAAGAACGAAGGTCAACCATGCCTCCTCCTCCTTTTTCTGTTCCCTTTCCTCCTCTTGCTTTGCCTTCTCCTCCTCCTTTTTCTTCTGCTCCTCTTCCTTCTTCAATTTCTTGGCCTTTTCCTTAAACCTCTGGTTCCGAGACACGAGCCGCTCGGAAGAGCATCAGGCAAAGTTAGGGCAGCTACTCTTGCTCCAGAGCGGACTTCTTATCCTCGTACCTGAGTCAGGACAAGATTGGACACGAATGCAACGCACCATTCGCATAGGTCCGCTTGAACGCTGAAAAGCTGCTCTTCTTTGAGCTTCTGCACAATCTCCGGACCGACATCCTCCAGTTTCTTCTGAGTGGATTTCGACTTCTCCTGCCAAGATGGAAAAACTTCAGCAAGACCGGACACGGGACACTCTCGAACGTCCTCCAGCTTTTGAAGGACTTTCTGCAGCTTCTCCTTCAGGCATCCAGAATGTCAGAGTCTGCATGTTGACATGGCTGATGCAGACCACACAGCAGAATATGTGTCGTCGTCCTTGGCTTTAACTTCCTTCTTCTGCATCTTCTCAATCTTCTTCGTAAGCCTGGGGAACACGGATCTTCTGTATCTCGTGTCAATTGCATTGTGCAACTGCCCCGCTGGGAGCGAAGCTTGTCCACTGCCTTCTTCTCCTTGCGAGAAAACCTTGGCTACCAAGAAGGATTAGACACGGCTGACGTTGGACAGAAGAGGTCCTCCTCGACAGTCAGCAGACCGGATGAACATGTCTCAACAATGCCTGGCAACTTGTCCTGCACGGCTTCCAGCTTCTTTTGCGTCTTATTTTCAATTGCATCCTCGTCGTCTTGCAGGCCTTCCTGTGTTGCAGTCCATCTATGTGCGCAAGCTGGCACAGTCTTGGCCGCTGCACATCAGCCTAGTGCAAGCCAGAAAAAACAAACATGTCGTACACTGCGAAGGTTTCGATGCAACTGATCAACGAGCTGTGATGCAGAACGCAGAGAACGTTCGGGGAGAACAGGAGAGATTGAGTGAATGACAAGCGAGCAATTAAAGAGATGTGACCTGAGATGGGGGAGGGAGACCGGGCGAACGATCTTGGCTTCGTGAAGATCCCAAAGACATCGGCGAGTGGACCAAACACTGCTTCTGCATTCCAGGCTTGAGGCCCGCAGATTCACACATGGTGGATGGGGATCGGAGAGCAGTCGTTGGTCAAACGCGGTCGGTCAACGATGCGAGTCCAATGAGGGCTCTGTTCGGAAGCCCCGGTGCAGGTGGATGTTGTTGGCGTCAAGTTCATGGCAAATAAGGATTTTGAGGCAGTTATGACGGGTCACGAGGTCAAGGTGTACTGTGGGAACAAAATCCGAAAAATCACCGACGGCACAACCCGGAATCAGTGTTTTGCCGCACTGTTGGTCCACAACTGTGCAACTGCCACTGGGATAATACACTACAATATACTATAGCAATAGATGCGGGCTTGCTCCTGCCATCAAA